GACAAGACAAAAATACACACCAAGGTCTAGTGGGAAATCTCGCTGCAATGAGCCATTCTATTTGATGCTTCTTTTTTGGCTTGGAGTTAGCGTTAACTGCTTTAAATAGTTTATTATAAATTTGGAAAATGGATAAATGATTAAACCAAACTGATATCTAATGGTTCCATCACTAAATTAAGATTACTGCAACTATTATCAAAGTTAAGAGCAAGGGGAGGAAGCAAAAGCCTTTGCCAGCCTATGCTGGACTGTGGAAGGTACTTGGGTCTTTTCTGTAATTTTAAAAGGAGAACGATGATAAAATGTTAGAACCCGAGAGAAAACAAAATTTAAAAACTATCGTTGTAATATAAAACATACATATTATTATTATATTCTTTTTAAGCTGTAGACTCGGTCTCAGAAACAGGAAGTGTGTCCGTTGTTGAAATTAGTCCGCCTTAAACAAACCGGATATAGACACACGCGGTCGTTGTAAATAGAATCAAGTGGAAGTTGGACTCTTTAGCGACTGAGAAACTTCGGGTGAATATTTGTTTCTTTCCTTTCCTTTTTTCCACGTGTTTACTTTTATTTGCGCTAAAGTAAATTAAATACCAGCGATGCATTTGAAAGTCACGTTTAGCAGATGTTATACTGGTTTTTACTGTGTTAATAAGAGAACGATTTGCGTAGAGTGTGTGTAATGTTTTTATAATTTAGTAAACTGATGTTAAAATTCAGCAGCATGGCAGACGTCCTGACAGACAGGATAAATGAGCTAGAGGCAGAGGTGGAGAAGCTCAAGTCTCAGCTGAGGGAGAAGACTAGAGCTGGGGAGGTCATGGACGTCACATCCAGTTCATCTTCTCGTGACAACACAGATTGCAGTCCTGAAGAGAATGGCACCACTAGCAGCAAGAAGAAGGGTAAGAAAGTAAACAAGGATCGTCCTTTAGACTTCTCGGCATACCCTCGTCGCCATGTGGCTCTGCGGTTGGCTTACCTGGGGTGGAACTACCAGGGGTTTGCAGTTCAGGAGAACACAGAAAATACAGTGGAGGCAAGATTGTTTGAAGCTTTGCAAAAAACTCGACTGATCCAAAGCCGACAGAGTTCTAATTATCACCGGTGTGGTCGCACTGATAAAGGAGTCAGCGCTTTTTCCCAAGTATGTTCACCAAAACAAGCAGTCTGCTTCACATATGACAAAGAATCTACTCTGATACATGTGTTTATTTCTCTTTACAGGTCATCAGTATTGATTTAAGGTCTAATCAGTTTAGTAAAGGACTGGGTATCACACTTCCTGAAAATGTGGATGTAAACATTAAAAATAAAGCCGTCGTCTCAGAGTTTCCATACGTCAAGATGCTGAATAGAGTCCTTCCCCACGATATCAGAATCTTGGACTGGGCACCAGTGGCACAGGATTTTAGTGCACGCTTCGATTGTCAGTCCCGCACATACCGCTACTACTTCCCTCGAGGATCTTTGGATGTGAAACTGATGGCAGATGCTGCAAAAAGGTACCAAAATACACACTTTTATAACTTGGTGTCATGTGGGAAACTGACTTAAGACTTATCGGTGGCTTACAGATACGAGGGTACTCATGACTTTCGAAACCTCTGCAAAATGGATGTCGGTAATGGAGTTCTTCAGTTTGAGAGGACCATCCTGTCAGTGTCCATCCAACCTGCATGGTCTACACAAACCTCCACATCAGAGTCACATGATCTTTTTATATTTGAAATCAAAGGATTAGCCTTCCTTTATCACCAGGTATTTAATTTATGTATACCACCAGGTATTATGAGACATTTGTTTGTGTTGTATTTAGGTTTTTTAAATACCTAACCTTATTGTTGTTGTTTTTTTTGTTTTGTTTTTTTTGTATTAAACCACAGGTACGATGCATGATGGCTGTCCTTCTTCTGATAGGGCAGAAACTGGAATCCCCAGAGATCATTGATCAGCTTCTGGATGTACAGACTAACCCAAGGAAGCCTCAGTACAGGTAAAGTAACTGAAGACATCTCCCTGTGAATTGTTATAAATGAATTTCACATCTTTGCAGTCAGCAACAAAACTCAACCTAATTTTTACTTATGTTTTAAGCATGGCCGTTGACTTCCCTCTGATCCTCTACGACTGCCACTTTGATGGTTTGACTTGGAAACAGGAACCAGAGGAGGTGAACTACATTCTGGTTACACTGCAGCAACACTGGACGCAGTCTGCAGTCAAATCTCATCTCCTCCTTGGAATGATCACAGCTTTAGAAGCCAAAGGTAAGAGGGATTATAAATCTTCATATACTTTTTGTTTCTTTTCAAGCAAAAACACTTGCAAACTTAAGCTAACTTTTTATGTGCTTTTTATTTACCAGGTGCTACGTCCACTGGTCAGTGCTTGCTGGTAGAAGGCAGCCGCTGCAAGAATTACCGACCGTTGCTGCAGCGTCCATTCTGTGAGAGTCTGGAATCCAGGATTGATCACTTTGTTAAAAGAGGCAGATTAGAGCGAGAGGAAAGTCAGAATGGAGGTGAAATGATCCACAGAGGAAAACGATCCAAACATTCCCACAATTCCCCCAACCCAACAATCTCTTCAGATGAAAACTTCTCCAAGGCAAAGACAGAAGAGAAAGCAGAAGACTAACGTTTTAATTTTAGAGACTTGCCAAACTATTTTTGAGTTCTGCTTTTTTCTTTAAATCTTCTAAAGTCGTACATGACACAACGCCAATCTAAGTTTTTATTTCACTGACTAGTGGGGAAAATACAAGATAATGCACAAGTGTTTCGTTTGCTGTAAAATAAACACTTTTTCAACAATGGTTTTATCTGCTTAATGAGGAGGCTGACGGAACCAACGTCAGATAGCAAGTGAGGTGGGAAGATATTTCAGGGAACGCCTGTCAAACCTAGAGGCTAAGTAGTTAGCAGTCAGCTGAGAGAACAATCTTAAGGGTTTGTGACATTATTTGCGGAAACGACTCTTATTATTTTATATAAATATTATTTTAGATAGCGCGACTGCAAGTTTGTAAGAAATGATAATGCAGTAGGTACGGCCATGTTTGTTTTCGTGTTTGTAGTCGTTTCGACGTAAATAGAACTAGTGCTAACTTTAGCCTGTTAGCATTGGCTGCAGCTCTGGGGCTCCACACGGGTTCCTCTTCTGTGTAACCAGCTGATTTAAGGACACTTCCAAAGAAACAAGGTCTGCATTTTTTTTTTAAATTTGTTTATAAACGTATCGATCACTTTAGTGCAAGAATTAAATGCAGTATTTTACTATTTTAAATGGAGAATGCACAAGTACACTTGCTTGATCCCTTCATTTTAACAACCAAACAAGGGAATCCAAGTGATCATCTAATATTAGTATATACAAATATATACACACTTGTAGTTGCTGTTGTAACTTAAACGTTTGCGTGTTGTTGGGAGAATAATGGTGTTCTTGTTTTAATAAATTTATAGTCTTATAAGTAGTTGAACAATGCAGGTTACATAACGTTGCTACCCTGACTAGGGTTGAGTAAAGATTTCTCAGCAAAATAGAAATCTGTCTGATTTAGTGGGAACACGCTTGAGCAGAAATGATCAAATTTAGATAACATTTTATCCTCTATTTTAACTTTTAAATACAATATATATATTCTATACACTTTAAAGTTGAATGTGAAGTGAACTTTATTTTCAAAGATTGTTTTTCCCAATTTTTCAAAGCCAAGTAACATTTTAATACATACCTTTATAGCGTGATAGAGCTGTATTTATTATACACCTCCATTTTTATTATTGTTTATTATTTTTCCGTGTATTCAGCATTGGAAAATGTATTCAGTTGTTTTTAGGGATTCTTTTGTGGAATTCTTGTAATACAATATCTTCACAGCAGAGGGCGTGTTGTAAAACCTGTATTTACTTCACAAGTCTGACAGCTGAACATTTACCAACAGTTTGCGTGTTTAATATACACTCAACACAAAGTAACATTATATATTATATTATTATATTTATTATTATTGTTGTTATTATTATCTTGCATGGCAAATGCTGTTGTTTACATATTTTATATGTATGTGTGTATATGTATATGCTATATATTTTTTTTCCTCGTTGTTATTTATAGCTCTCTTTTTCATTACCGTTTAAATTGTGTTCATTTTGTTTTTGTTGGCCCACACTGACACGCGTCTCTGTAGATGTTCCTGGTGGGGCTGACAGGAGGGATTTCCTCAGGTAAAAGCACAGTGTCCTCCATGCTGCGGGAGCTCGGCTGCCCAATTATTGATGCCGATGTTGTGGCCAGAAAAGGTAAGAGAATTTTCAAATCTGTGTAACAATAAGATGTAGCATTATTGCAACTCTAAACAGTTGAAGTTAAATGTTGAATTAGAAATAATGAGATGAAGACTGTAGGAGGCTGATTAATGCTTTCACAAAGTCCTTCTGTGCTGACTGGGCACAATGTGAATTATCCCGAAGTACAAGTATGAGATGAATTATTAGTTTAGACTGTAATCACACAGCAGGCGGTTGATGAATCTTTTAAAATACAATGTAAAACAACTCCTCATCTTTCGCCCTTTGTGTTTGTAATTTGTAACTTTTCATTATTCATTATTTCAAATGCTCATTTTATGGCCTTGTTAAAACCTTTATAGTTGTGGAACCACACACTCGCGCCTACACTCGCATTGTTTACCACTTTGGGCCGGAGATCCTGCTGGAGAACGGGGAGATCGACAGGCAGAAGCTGGGCCAGCTCATCTTCGCCAGTGAGGAGAAGAGGAAGCTGCTCAACTCCATCACTCACCCAGAGATCCACAAAACCATGCTGAAGGAAATCCTCTTCTACTTTCTCAGAGGTGAGGAAGGGATTGGATCATAGTGACGTACAGTATGAGGCACAAACAGACTTGTTTTTTTAAAAGGTAAGAACTGAAAAATACAAGTGAAGCAGATGATGTTTTACAGCCACATTTAAAAGGAAATGACTCTGACAAATTCTTCAGAAGGCTGCTGGTGAGTCATGAGATAGCAGTACATTCCCACAGCTGTTTTTGAGCTAGTCTGTCTTTGATCTGCAACGTGTGGCTCCTGACTCATATTTTTTTTAAATAACAGATTATACAACAATAAATTGTCCACACCGTTCTTTTTTCTTTTTTTGATAGTTCTGTATTTTTACTAGATTACTGGTAATTAAAAAAATATGATATCCTTATTCATTGTTTAGTCTATTTGTTTTTCTTTTTTTGTTATTTTTTTGTTTCTGTTTGTTGTCTGTACTGTTGTGTTGGGGGGGAAAAGGAGGACATTCTGTGAGATTTCTTCCAATAAAAAAAAAATATGTTGGCTGTCCTAGCTTTGCTCAAACACTGTTAATGTTTCATCGCTGTTCTGTCTGTACATGGATTTTGACTTCATCATTTAAGGTGTTGATTGATGAGCAGATGACAACTTTCCTCTTTCCTCTTTCCACCTATGTAGGTCATCGCTACGTTGTGCTGGACGTGCCTCTACTTTTCGAAACCCGACGTCTTACTCAGTTTCTCAACCACACCGTAGTAGTTTACAGGTAAGAGCACCACTACTGCATATGTTTTACCGAAGTAAATTTGATCAGAGCTGAGAGTTAATAACAAAACATATCAACCTTAGAAAACACTGAAAAGTGCTTGAGTTTGACCTGATTAAAAAGTCATTCTTGGTGAAACGTGTATTTTGACTCAAATGTCAGACGTTGACATCACACCCAGGTTTTATATATCTCTTATTTACTGGCTCTTGTCTTCATCACTCTCTAGTTCTCTCTTTTACTGTCACTCTGGCTCTCTCTGTCTCTCTCTCTCTCTCTTTCTCTCTCTCTGCCGTCTCAGCGTCTCTTACCGCCTCTGGATTTCTTAACAAGACCGCTCCAGAAATAACATCCATTGTCGCCTCTGTTTCAGTGACCCTGCCACTCAGCTATCGCGCCTCATGCAGAGGGACGGCCTGACCCAGGAGCAGGCCGAGCAGCGTGTGGCTGCACAGATGCCGTTAAACGAAAAGCGCGGTCTGGCAAATCACGTCATCGAGAACTCGGGCAGCCGCGAGGACACCCACCGGCAGGTCCTGCGACTGCACACCAAGCTGGAGGACTCCATGGACTTCCTCTTAGTGAGGGTCATCGCCATCACTGCCACTGCTGGTCTGAGTGGAATTCTGCTCTATGCAGCCAAGGTGGTTTTATCCTAACAGAGGATCAGCGCAAAACTATGGGGGTTTGGTCCAAAAAGTGTGTTTGAGGAGCACGTGAAATTATGAGCAGGCAGGTTGTATGTAGTGAGGAAAAGGTTTTATTTTCCCCAGATGTAAACAGAACTACGGGAAAGCCGAGGTCAGACTACACCAGATTTGTAAAGCTTGTAAAGCCAGCTTCAACAATCGCTGAACCATTAGTTCATGACACGGCTCACGTATTTTAACAGAGACATTCAACCTTTTATCACCATGAAGGGAAGAGAATCTCAGCCCCGGCTAGGAGAGTCCTCAGTACCAATGGTGCTTATCCTCTGCTTAGTACCAGGCCCTAACAGTACCAGGGACCTATTATGAGCGGTCTATTATGAGTCTGTCCCAGACGGCTTTACCACTTTGGTCATGTGGAAAGAAACAGGTAGCCTGACCTCGGCAAAAACACAACCTCACATTGTTGACCTCACTTTTGTTTTGCTTTGTGTGAAGGGTTTCTATGTGCAATTTCTTTCGGTTGTGAGACACTAAAATGCGAAGGTATTTAACAGAGCCACACAGCTAGTAGAGCAATGATCCCAGCAGTGACGGAAGGTCGTATGGGAAAACAGTTTAAATCTTCCTTTGATTCATCCTTCAACTAATATCTGTTAACCATCATTAGGACAATTGTACCAATTGTGGCTCATTTTAATCTGAAATATGTTTTTAATTAGACATGTTGGTGAAAGTGAAGATGAAGGCTTTTATTTTCTTATTTTATTAACTCTTAATTTTTAGGCTTTTAAATTTTATATGACATGATCTGAAATTCAGTCAAATGTTGAATAGGAACAATCGGATCCTTGTAGAAATGACAGAATGTATTTGACAATCCACTTTTGATGGTAACAACACAATGTATCACTGTATTTTCTTACACTTGAAGTTGTTCACTGTAAAAAACCAGGTCAGATTCTTTTGTTTTTTTTCTCCACCACACACTCACACGTAACCTTTGACATGTTAGCTGCTCAGCATAAATATACTAATGCAACGCCACTGTTTTTGAAAGGAACAACTTTCAGATTAACGACTGTGATTGTGAGTTTGACACTAAAGCACTGTTTTGTCTTGAGTATCAAGGGGGAAGAGTTTTCTCACATCCTGGCACTCAAATATGTAATACGTTTTTGACATCCGGACTAGTTTGTTCATAAGATAAGAAGGACGAACGACATGTTCTTCCACAACACGTGAGAGTTGGATCTTCAAGTCTCAAAAATGGATGCTGCACTGTTTTAGTTTTGATCAATAAATCTATGTATCATTTTTGAATCATTTAATTTGTTGTGTTTTTGGAGAGGGTTCAGTTTATATACCACACTTCTGTTGTGTATATATGTACACCTTAGCACATATATATGTATATACATATGTGATTATATATATATATATATATTGTAATTTCCATACTATAAGTTGCACTTTTTTTATCCTTTGGCTGGGTTTGCAACTCTTACACTAACAGCACCTAGAGGGCACTCTAGGCATGTGTACCAGTATCAGCTACTCCTGTACCACTGAGAATTTACATGATTGTTATTTTCAGACTGACAGCCGCTAGAGGGCACTGGTGCAACTTATACTCAGGAGTGACTTAAATATGTTTGTTTTTTTCTACTTCATTAAGCATTTATTGGCTGGCACGACTTTCAAAAAACTACGGTGTGTGTGTGTATATATATATATATATATGTATGTATATATGTATTTATTCTATATATAAGTGTGTGTATATGTACATGTATACAATTACATCATCATATAAGTTGCAATTGACTGAGCTCTACCACAGTCCAGTAGTAGAGGATGAATTAGCTGACATACTCAGAGACAGAGTCGGGGGCGATGTACTTTTAGAAGAGTAAAATCAAATATTTAAAGATTTGTTCAAGCCCTGTGGGACATAACTGAGACACAGACCGAACGGTTGAGTAAAAGGTGGCGGAGTAAACGTTTTTTTTTAACACTGTCCTTTTTGGTAGTACCCACAGGATGGGCAGAGTTAATAATGAGAAGATCAGGGGACCAGAGGAGATTTATGAAAGAAACCGGTCGATTATTTCGTCAGATAAGAAGCCAGGACCATGGGCCAGTAGCGCCTACAGAAGGCTGTCGGTGACGAGACCACAGTTGAAGATAATGAGCCGGTGTACAGCAGTGAGTTCTGATGTCCTTGCTCTCGTTCACACTGGAGCTCAGGCATGGAAACTCCAGCCCACAGGCGCCGAGCGGTGACATCAGCACTTAGGGCTGTGTGGCTCACTTAGTCCCTCCATCTTCAGCCTCCACTGGACTTCTCTGAGTTTACATCAAGCAGCTGTGGGACTAATGTAAACTGACTGGGGCAGTGGTGGGTGGAGGTCAGCGGAGCATGGGCTGCATATTTGGTCATGCAAATTCACAGCCGCAAACACAACGCAACCGCTCGCACAACAGTCCGTACCGGACGACCATGCACGTGATGCGTACAGAGGAGCGTTTTATTTATTGCTAAGGCTGCTTGATTTTAAAAATGCTCTGCAGCCGTCCAGGCACTAACGTGCTCTTCTGACCAGCCAACTGTTCAGCAGAGATTTTCAAGTGTGTTTTCCACTCGGGCGCAGACAGAGGCCAGATGCACAGCACTGGAGGAAACTATATCTGTACCAGAAAGTGTGAACGCTCCAGGCACAAAAGGGTGGCAGAGGCTCTCTCTGAATATAAAGTGGGTTTAATTCTCGCGGTGTCAAGCTTAAAGGTGAAAGTCGTAAGTTGCCTTGTTACACTTTGTAGAAGTGCACGGATGCAGACACAGGCCGCCCGCTGCTTTATCATGTGCTGTGGCTGCTCTCCAGGAGAGAGGCAGATCATTTTCTGATGGCAGGGGGGTAAGGACTAATATAATTTCACCCTCATGTTCAGAGAGTTCAGCCCGAGGCACCGCGGTTTGTCAATATTTTGGAATCTCTTGTCTAAATGGTTTCCCGTCATCATCCCCCCTGCCTTCTGCCCACAGTGAAGGTAAGAGTTTGGGCACAAGCGGAGAGGATAAATGGCTGCGGACCCAAAATACCTCCAAGTACTTTTTAACATTTAATTGTCGCAAAGCTTAACAGCGGTGATTGTGTAGATAATTTCCCAAACTTGATTTTTTTAGCTTGTATGTAAAAGATTAGGAAGTTGATTCCATTAGGTGAAGGGCTCTGCACCCTGGACACAGTTAATTTGTTTTTAGGTCAGAAGTACTGTGTTGTGTTTACCCAGGCAGCCCCAACACCAGTGGGAACTGCAGGGACCGTGGCGATCTCACTCGCAGCGCCTCTGTAGACTGTTGTCAGGCTGCATCTGCGAGACTGCGATGAGGTGAAGAGACAGGCAGTACGCCGGCGAAGCCTTCCACAGCCACATGACTCAACCTGTCCCTGTGCGTTAGCCCCAACTCTGTCAGGACCATGAGGGAACAAGGCCATTAATACTGAGTCACTGACACACTGGACAGTTCCCTGGTCAGGCATGATGATGAGGAATGAAGTGGGAGAAGCACTGTACACAGTATTCTGTGATTCTGACCACAAACACATCCACAAGGCTTCAAAGTCTGACAGTAATCAAAAACCAATTGGATTTGGATGTTTTTATATTTTATTACCGTATCTTGACATACAGGAAGTGTTTGATCTGTGTCTTTAAAATATCTTGAGTCATGCTTTGATTTCCATTATACTGTATGCTGTACAGCAGGGATGTCAAACATACGGCCCACGGGCCAAAACTGGCACGCTACAGTGTTCAATCTGGCCCACTTGATGGATTTTGAAAATAAAATGTTCAGGATATTCTTTTGTAAAATTATTATTATTTCATAAATATGAATTAATAATAATAACAAATATCTAATACTCTAAGACATATATATATTTCTGAGATTTAAAAAATGGAAAGTGCACATTTTTCTAAAAGGTGCGAACTTTGAGGATGGTTATTACCTTTATTCATCTCGGTGCATGGTGTCCTTTTTAGGTGTGAGCTCTCCCCACTAAAACACATGAAGCATGTAAGAGCGTGCAGGTGTCTTTATATTTAGTGAGAGGAAGCGTTTGTGAGCGAAACGGGCAATTGAGCTCCACAGTTAAAGCATCTACGCCTAATTTGGATCTCCCCCGGTGAGTTAAGTGGCGATGCCGAAGATAACAACACCAAGGGTTCATTAACGTCACTTCAGACAGTTTTGGGGGGGGAGGTGCTCTTTTAATACCTAGCATTCTCCTGTCTCTGACACACATGCTCGACAGGCACACTGACCCACGCACGCTGACCGAAACACTCACACACCGACCCGCCAGCCTGCACGCGCGTTCTGCAGCTGCCTGATAAGCCCGCTGCCTCGCCAGTTGGCCGCTGCAAATGCCAAGCGTAGTGTACTGATAGGGAGTGAGTGGGAGTGAATCAAAATTTCCTCAGGTTCACTGGACATACTTAATTAGGACGAGTCTGCAATTGAGACATCGTGTTTCAAATCCCTCTTTTCAAACGTCGGGATGCAGCGTGAGTTAAAGGACTTGAAATGATCAGCCTGAAAGACAAATCAACGTCAGGGGAAAATAAATACCTAGAAGCATCGTGCACAGCTTCAGAAGATCCTCCTGAGAAGACTTCTCACTGGGTTCTGGTTTAGTCTTTGTGCCCTGTTCAACATCACATACAACAAGAGTTTCTTGTGAGAACTCTAAGAAAACAACTGTGAACGCGGCAGGCCCTGGGCCTCGGTCCCGCACTCTGAGGGCGTTTGCCTTTGACACTGTGACATGAAGTCTCTAATTTGACACTGTGCTCATACATCCTGCGAGGAGGAAACAGTCTGTGCTGGCGTACTTCCTCCCCGAGCACGGCTGACCTCTGCTGCACGGAGCGTCAGTCTTAATTGTGTCTGCAGGAATTCTCTTCTCTGGGGATGAGCTTAAGTACAAAGAACAACTACAGTAACAACTTGTTCCAGAACTGCATCTTAAAACTTCTCAGTCTTTTGTTCTGTACTGGCTGCTGGTGGGCAGTTGGTAGAGAAGATGTTCTCTAAATAAGGACCTTTTTTGTTCTTTTATTTTAAGACCATTTTCATCTAAAGGCTGACCTGTCAATGGGTCACCAGGGGTCCACATCAGCAATACAGTTCCTGGGCCAGTTGTAAATGGAAGAATGTATAGATCAGGGGTCCCCAACCTCCGATCTGCAGACCATTACCAGTCCATAGGTCATTTGGTACCATTTACTTTATTTATTTAAAGATAATCTCTCAATATTTTTAAATAATAAGTCATTCAAACTCTGACACAAACAGAATAGAGGTTAAGGAACCCTGCTGCATGGACTTTAGTAAATACTTTTTAAGATCCCGCGGGGCCACACAAGACGGCTTGGCGGGCCGCATTTGGCCCCCGTAAATAATTATATTATATTATAATGATGAATAAAAAAGTGCCGCTTTGGTTCAGACTATTTGTATATTGTTATAATTGTTATCCTATAATCGAGGATTGTAGACTGTTGACCACAGACTGACATAAAGAGACAGGAACCACATTCCTTACAATCACTTCAGAACTTCCATTTAATCCTAGTCCCATCTGCATCTGTTGAGACATTGGGAGGAGTCAAATGAATTTATTTAATCCATGGACGTTGACGTTTAATCCCAGCAGACTCTGTGAGAAGGTCCGTACACCTTGACATGTCAAAGTTTAAAAAAAATTATAAAATGATATTTAAGAATATGCACCCATTTGGGTGGAAAATTAATTTTAAAAAGATTGATTTATAAAAATTTCTCGATAGATCAGTATCTGATTCATTAAACTTTTGCCTTTTTTTAAGAGTAAAAAAACCCCCAAATGTTTCCTTTGACTGTGAAATGGAATTATCCCCTGTTTGATTTGGCATTTACTTCCCCTGCTGATCATGTCTCCACTGATTGCCTCTCTTGGGTGTAACATTTGCAGAATTAAAGGCAGGTTTATCGCTGGTTAGTCAGAGATAAGAAGAGATGATCAAGAAACAGCTGAGGTAAGTGACATTAACCAGATAGAGGAGGGAGGAAATTCAAAAAGGCCATTTTTAATGAAAAATCATTGACATTAAAAGTCAAACACAAGCGTGACAGATGTGTCGTCGTATCCTCCGTACTCTGTTAAACTTCTGTGGGAGAGTTGGCTGTTTGTGGACACACATATAAACAGATGTCGCATGCATGAAAAAAAGAGAATATTTTATTTTTCAAAATAAATACAATGCTTTCCATTATTGACACACCATTTGAATAGACAACACAAAAAAATGGATGTGCTTCACAGACTCTGCTGTTCAGACATTGTTATGAGACGCCGCGTGTTTGGTGACACTGTCTGCCCTTCATAACAATCGCTATCTCATTGTTCCCCGCAACTTTGCATAAAACGAGCGACCCGGGTCTTTGAAGTGCACGGTCCCATTACACAAACAGCATAAGCACACGTAATTGCAACAAAAACACGCGCACACACACACTACGTTTACGGACGCTGCGTTGTTGTGGCTGGGTTTACAGACTGCATGTGAAACAGAGGCCTCTCTCTCACACACACACACACACACGGTTAGAACAGTTAGGGCACCTCAGTGTGACACAGAGTGATGCCGTCACGGAGCTCACTTTCCTCTGGATGGTGACAAATTGAGCACACAAAAGAACACGTGGATGGGAAAGTTCACAAATACCGACAGCCTGGAACACTGCATTAGTCCTGACCGTGGACTCTGTTCAAAACTGTCTGTGGATCAGTGCAGGTCAGGGTCAGAGGTCGTGTATAAGACATGGATGTAGCCACCTGAGTCTTAATTTGAAGGTATTCACATGTGTTCACAAACATTTCAGTGTTTTACTGAAATAACTCTTTAAACTCCTAAATCAAATCAATAAAAACAAAGTTGCCTTATTTATTTATTTATTTATTTATTTATTTACAGGACTTCTATCCGTTGCGTTAGTGTTTTTACGTAAAACTAAATGGCTACATCCATCTTTTTATATACGCCGCTTCAGGGGTGTGGGGGGTGGTGAGTGCCCTCTGGCTGTAACCTTTCAATCCTGGACGACTGGACCACGTCCTGTCTCTTCTCGTCCTCAGTCAGCATAGAGAATGAATCCTGAAAAGGTGCTGTACTTGTTGCTGTTGCCCCCGTGAGCTTTGCCTCCATCCAGTTTAATGAAAACCTCATCACCAGCGTCCAGGTGAAGGATGACACTGTTGCCGGCATAGTCGTAACTCTGGTCCTGGTCTTGGGCGATGGCGCTGGCCCTGACCTGTGACACACCAACACCAACACAAAAGCACAAACAGGACAATGACAAAATCTATATGATATGAGGTTCGGAAACAAAGTGAGTACTTTGAGGCGTTGGTTGTATTTCCGTGTGGGAAGGAAAACCTGTAGCATCTTAACGGTGGTTTTAATGGACACATTAGTTGGATTTCAGTGTAATTTTTTATGAGGTGTTTATTGAATTATCGCAGGGCATTGTTGTGATGTTATGCAGTGTATTGGAGGATGGATGGAAAAGGCTTTGGCTGTTTATATCCTCTATATTGTCTGTACAAACTTCACAGGTCATTTTTATTGTGCATGTTAGGATAAGTATTTAGGTTGATTTGAATATATTTTTTGAATAAATGACCTAATTTTGGAAGACAGTTGATTTCAGTCCCCACAAAACACACGCAAAAAACGGAGCCACGTAATACTTAGATAGTTCTGTGCACTGAACAAATCATGTGTGATGTAGCCACGCTGAACACCAGTTCAGGGAAATGTCATGGCTCAGATTTACATGCAGTCTAATCAGTGTGATCACTAAAGGGCTTTGGAGGTATCACAAAGTGAATCCTGCAGATAGCAGGTTTTGGTGCTGAAACACCCAGGTCTGCCAGACCCTGACAGACTGTCTGATATCATAGACTGTCTGATATCACATTCTCACATGTCATGGTTGCAGTTGCAAGTTTGTTGTATTTCAAAAGGACAGCAGCTTTGAAGTAGCCCCTGCCTGCGGCAGTGTCTTGATGTGTGCAGAGTTGAGATAGCAGCTCGCTCCTTCCCCTCTCTTCAGCACGGACATCAGTGCATGTGTAATATGCATAGATACACAATCTGACAGCGTGCAATTGGACATTGTTAGTATCTTCGACTTCAGCACCAGACCAAGTCTGACCCGGAATGACTGCACGCATGAACGCATGGTCACACTGTTGCTTGTGCAATTTGATCAGAGTAAATTCCTGTCTGCTTTTTAACGCTTGATAAGTTGCACATACATCATTTCACACCATTTGTGACTTCTTTTTTGTTGGCGTGTGTGAGGAAAGCTGTACCCACCAGACCGTTCTTGATCAGGTCGGCCCACATGCTGGTGCCATCGCCTCCTCTCATCAGCACGTTGTAGATGAAAAAGTAAGTGCCAGGGATCTTGCACGTGAACTTGCCCGTTGTCCCCTCATAGTTACCCCCGATATTTGTCACCACATCATCGAAGCGCAGAATATCATAACCTTCTTGTGGGTTCCGTAGTCCTGCATAAAACGCCACCCGAGGCATGGTGTTGTAGGTGGTGGTGCTGACCGACCCTTTACCTCCTAACCCCAATATCCCTGTTCGTACTATGTCCACACTCTCTCCTGGGGGCCCCTTTGGCCCTGGTGGCCCTGGCACTCCAGGAGGCCCCGGAGGTCCAGGCTTGCCAGGACGCCCCACTCTGCCTTGTGGCCCCTGAGCACTGTAGGTCGGCAGCGGTGGTCCGATGCTGGGGTCCCTCAGATCCGCCTCGTCTTCCACCTGTAGACTTGAGGTCGCCGTGCTGGGGCCCACATGCACGCCGGGGCTCATCGTTCCTGTGGCCGAGAAGGGGTCGCACACCATGCGGCAGGCGCCCAGCATCTCGTAGTGGCTAGAGCCGTCATCTGTGCCAACGGAGTTCACCAGCACAGGGATGAGGACCACCAGGACCAGGACCAGCATGACCCCCACAGCAGCTGCCACCAGGGTCTTCCGCCCGATGCTCAGCCGTGGAAGGGGCTGCGCTGCCAGCGTGGAGTTCCCTGGAGTAGAAATGGTGACTGCGAGGAGTGCGTCCACCTGGCAAAACACGGCGTCGATGACTATCTGAGATGATGGAGACGCTGCCCAGGAGAGCAAGTAAGAGTGTGCGAGAGAGTGAGTGAGTGACAGAGCTGGGTGAGAGAAAGAGAGAGGGAGTGGAGCAGGGGACCTGAGTGGTTAAGAGGGAAGAGGGGGAGTGAGAGAGAGTGGAAGGAGAGGGTAAGTGAAGAGGAGGAGAGAAAGTAAGATGGCTTAACAGAAAGGGAGGGAGAGAGAAAGAGAGAGAGAGAGAGAGAGAGAGAGAGAGAGAGGGAGGGAGGCAAGAAGTGAGGGGAGGAGAATGAGCAACAGTCCTTGTTAAGGCAAAACAACTTCCTATGTAAACACATGAAAAGGTGGACTGGGACAGAGGACAATGAAATCACTGGATTTTTGATTTTTCAACAAATGTAAACATTCCAGATGTCAATTGTTAATTTTCAGTTTTTTTTTAATAATTTCAATTCAATTATAAACCAATTCCATGTGCAGTTAAAAAAAAAGCAAAAAGCCAAATTTGATGAAGTCAGTCTTGTACCCCATACTTTTTGCTATAGCTAGCATTGAGAAGACAGTCTACTTCTCAGTTTTTTCTTTTTGTCTTTTACAGTTTTTTTAAATATGTAGCTCATAAAGTGTATGTAAAAACTTACTTCATGTTTGGCCTTAAATAGAGATATTTAATCAGTTAGTCATTACCAACCTGCCGTAGGGATGAAAACGTTCCTGTTTTAAATTAAAGCATCAACAATCTGCCTTGAAAGACTGTACAGAAATCTACAACCTGACATTCTCCCAGTAAAGTTATCGGGATTTGCACCTGTATGTTTAACGTAACGCTTAGGTAAAGGCACTGATAAAAAAAACCATCACCTGCAGCAGCCCTGGAGCAATAACAGATGGTCTAATAAAATATGTAAATGTAGACAGAGACATGTCCACATGTTGCATAACAAGTAGCAATAGACTTATTTAAGTTAGTGAAATATAAAACAACCAGACAAGAATTACCATATTTACCACAGTAATTGTGTTAAAGATTGAATGGGTAACACAAAATATATTTAGTCCTGGGACTGAAGTATTGTTATCTGTCAGTACACACAGTGTGTTTCAACAGCCTGCTTAACTATTTATTCACACATCCCTGCGGGGGTTCCTACTTACTCATTTGCCACAGCTATTAGCCCAGTTGTTACGGAACGCACGTCGAACTGCACACAATATGTTGAGTAATTTGTAATTCTTGTTAACAACTGCAATCAGATTGGCACCTCTACATTAACCTACTCAACACAGCATCTTGGTGTTTGTTTAATTCATGACTCTGAGTCATTGTTGCGCTGAAGGCCAACGCAGAAACTTATTGAAATTTATTGCAATTGGAACAAACGTCAAACAAACAGCAGCTGGTCTAGAGCCAAGGGGGCAATACTTTTTCTTTTCTTTTTTTTTTTGCATAAATTTACTTAAAAAATAGTATGTTGAAGGTCTTCAACAGGGGGTTCAGGACCTCAAGGGAGTCCATACAGGTAGTGGAGTGAGGTTGTGCAATTTTATTTGGTCAATTTGATTTTTTATATATATTTTGCACATTTGAAATACTGAACATGAATTTGTAAATTATGCGTTATGCGTTATAATTATGTTGTAATAGTTTATTTTTTTACAGCAAAATGTCAACGTTATTTACTCTGTCAATATCACAAAGATTAATTATATACACCAAGACGAGCCTTTATTAGTATCTAACAGAAGATGCATGTGTATTCGTACAGGCTGACACTGAAACTTGAAGCCATGCAGTAATATTAGAATTTCGTGACAGTAAAGAAACACGGTGTGAGAAGCATGCAGCATGTTTTGAAGCTGCTGCTGTTGTCACAGAACTTGACAAGGAAACTGAATAGGGAAATCACACTGCTGCTGCAGTGCCTTCTTACTGACGCTACCCTGACATGCTGTATCATGGAAATGACAACATGGTGACTTTAATGAAGAAAATCTTTGAAGAAATCCCATCCTTCGTAGTTAAAAATATCCTAATGTCACTATATTTTATACATTATCCTTCAGATATAAACCTATGAAATCAACACGAAAAAAATCAATGCAAACAAGTTCTATGATTGTCAGAGAAAATACCCAGAGGAACAAAACGAGTCCTCATGTGGTCGTTAAAATGGTTACAATATGTCAATATGTTTTGACATTAGATTGCTTTAATGTCCTTTGCAGGTTGTGTTATTTTTTATTTTATTCATTTGTTGTTGTGATTTTTGATAAATACTAAATACAACTGCATTTCCTCTTCTTGGTTGCCAACTGCTAATGCACACGAAATCAGGATTTCCTTTCCAAATTATAGTAATAAAATGTCAGTCATTCAATTACCAAGAGTAACAAATTGTAACTTGTAAAAATAAATCTTCCAATTCAATCTAATTATTCCTATTATTGTTCAATGATCGTGCACCTGTTGTTCTACAACACAGCGTGTACATGACGAGCAATGTCTTTTATTTGCGCTAATCGTAGAATAGGTTTTAATACTAGCACTTTCAGCTTACGTGTAAATAACATTAACAATAATCATCTCCTTAGGATTGCAGAACTTCACCACAAGATGGCAGCAAAATCTCAATAATAGAAGAGGAGCGCAATCCAGCTGCTATCTTTTCTTTCTATTTTATGTTTATAAAACTGAATAAACCGCTTTATAGGAGCAAATACATAAACAGTACCTTTAAAATATAAAGAGGTTCAAAACTTATAAAACAGAAAAGTTTGAAAAAGCTCTCGTCCCTGGGTGGGCTTGAACCACCAACCTTTCGGTTAACAGCCGAACGCGCTAACCGATTGCGCCACAGAGACGGTTGTTTCTACACAGTGTTGTTTAGATTTATTAATATTGCATGAATGTTTAATTATCTGTATGATTAATCATGTTTAGAAACCAGGTTCTAACTTCAATGGTTCCTCTCTGGAGGTTATTGGGTATGAGTTGTTAATTGGAGCAGCAGGACAGTGGGGTAGGAAGACGACCACCCATCTTGCGCAGTTTTGCTCACATTCCAACATCAGCCTACAGGGCGGCCTTGTCAGTAACCTGAGAGCTGGGGAAATTACAGGAATGACATCTTTGATGTCTATATTCAGGATGCATGGCACAAGGTACTTGTCAAATTTAAAATAGATTTAAAAACAACACGTTATTTAGTTTAATGTTTATGCTTTTGTTTCATGTCATTTCATGTAAATGTTGTGTTGAGTATCTTTAGTTAAAAACAAAGTCATCATCATTGTGATATTCAACACCACTGGCCACAATAACATTTTATGCAATAGCAAAATCGCATCCGCCCCTTCTTTGTTAACAAAATAGTTCAACCAAAGCAACTTCCTTGAATCTTTCATTTTGGGATCTTCCTTTTTAGGCAACAGGCTGCTGCCTTGCAGACCCTCCTGGGATTATGTGGGAATTCCTTAGCTGCTTTGCTTGGCAGCTTTTTTCTAATCTTAAAATATTGTTTATCGAGGGTGTCAGGCCAAGAGAGAATAGGAATTGGTCAAAATGTTTGTATTTTGAATGAAGCTCTACATGGAAACAAAACAATTTGTGGTTTGTGTTATTTCTGAAGAGCCATCTTCTTCAACCTAGCCATTTGTTGTTTTATATTATTATACATAGTTATTGTATTATTGTTTTAATAAAAAAAATCCTTGAACTATATTCAAGGAAAGGTAAAATTGTTTAGATTAGGACTGCTCCAGACTAAAGTATTAATTTTCCATTATTATTATTATTGTATGTGTATTGACACGATTCAGACGGAAGTAAATAACTTTGTGATGAGTTCAGTGACATTTAGTAATTTCTTTGTACAGATAGTTTGAAAATTATAAACACTGATTGTAATACTTTATATTTAAATCTGTTCTCTAGTTAGCCAGTGCTCCAGGTTCTGTGTCAAACGGTGGGATATACAGCTGCTGGAATCTCCTTTTTACAAACAGTAGACATATTTTCCTTTTTAGGGCATGAGAATATATTACGTAATTTGGGAAGCTCTCGGATTTCGAGCAATCTTGCCTGTGTGGAGAAGGGAGGGACTCATTTTGAGCGACATCTTCTTTGACCAAACATACGCCGAAAAACTGGTTTCCTGCTTGTTGATAGGTCAGAGGGCGGACAATGGCGGTTGACGTTGACGTCGGTTTCGCTCACCCCCTGCCTGGCAGTTCTTCATGCTGATGGTTTGACGGGAGTATTTGTAGCCGCACACCGGATGGTTATACTGTCCTGGAAAGAAAAAAGCTCCCCCGACTGTGTTTTGTAGGATTTTGTGACGAAAGCTCAGGAGTTCACCGCTCTAAGTGGTTGGAGATATTTTCTTTTCTCTTGGATAGTGCTCTAAAGTTGTCACCATGCCGGTTTTCCACACGAAGACGATAGAAAGTATCCTGGAGCCGGTGGCTCAGCAGATATCCCATCTGGTGATTATGCACGAAGAAGGTGAAGTTGATGGAAAAGCGATTCCAGATTTGTCAGCGCCGGTTGCTGCTGTGCAGGCGGCTGTGAGCAACCTGGTTCGAGTAAGTAACTTTTCGTGAATTCGGCGAAGTGTGCTTGAACTCAGGGTGTGGGCTACCTGTCCCTCTTTGTCCCACACCGTGCTTTCCCAGAGTGATCTTTGCAGACAATACTGACCAGAATGAAGTTATTCAACAAAAAAAAATAAAAAAGTATTTAATACCAGAGAAGGCGCGTTGTGGCTGGCAATGCTGCCTAAAGTTGCTCGACTTGGGGCAAAGGGCAGTTATAAAAAAATAAAAAAAAGTATTTAATAACAGAGAAGGCGCGTTGTGGCTGGCAATGAAAAAAATAAAAAAGTATTTAATACCAGAGAAGGCGCGTTGTGGCTGGCAATGCTGCCTAAAGTTGCTCGACTTGGGGCAAAGGGCAGTTACGCCCTTTTCCCCTTGAAAATGTGCCCTGCCTCCTCTGCTGGAGCCCGACTGCCATATCTTCACGTAGGCAGTGCTGCGAGTTTGTACGAGCCAGACACTGAAGGCAGCAGTCAATGACAGCCCTGTTAAATCATGTTTACATTCACAGAATATACCTCTGGAAGATTTAGTTGAACCTAAAGACAAAGTAGGCAACATTGTTGGTCCATCTACAGACCCCCCTCCACCCCCCAGCAGGGAGTGCTGTTAACTCGAATGTTGTGCTTTATTGATATACTCACAAAAGCAAAAGAAGGATTGTTTATCATATTTAAACCACAAATAAACCACAAATTTGCAGTTGCTATTCTGACAGCATTGTCCTATTTCAACGTAAACACATGTTCAAAAGCTTTTTTTAAAGACATTTATAATTTATCTATCTTTGCAAGAGTAAACATTACCAGTGATATTTGCCACAATATAATTTCTACACCATTAATTGAAATATGTCTGTGGCTATTAATTATGCAGCCATATATAAAACCATTGAATTACATGCTCTCTGTTGACGTGATGCAGCTGCATTTCTGTTATTTTTAGAATCAAAAGTGGCTTAACCACTACTGTGTCCCTCATAACCACATTGAAACTTTCATCACACAGACTCTTATGCCCAGCTAGTGGTTTCCTACTGAAAACAGGCAGCTCAAAAGAGCTGTCATTAGATATTGTAACTTAAGGAAGGAGTAGATAAAAGCTATATTAAGGCAGGCATAGTTCCTGTAAGTTGTTGTCTTTGTCAGCAGACAAAGTCAAACAGACAGCCTGTGGCAGTTGTTGGACGATAAATTTGGACAATTGGACTGGTCTTTTCTGCCAGCCAAGGAATGCTTCCTAAAGAAATACTGTATAGCATTACATTGCCTACCACTGTTGGTTTTATGGTCTAGAACGCTGCATGCCAGTTAAGAACCGTGGTTCTCTGAACACCCAATGGAGCTAAGACCTTGTGAAACTTTTCTGTTTAAGGACATTGTATACATCTACTAAATTCATTAGACATTTGAAATCTTAGCGAATATTGCTTATATATATAAATATATATATATCCCAAAGTTATCAAATACTTTGCCTTGTAAGTAAAAAAAGGTTTTATAGAATATTTCATGACAAAATTATTTACTCGTTGAATATTGAAATATTCATTAGAATCCCTATAACCTCGGTGTTGAAATGATCCAGACATTTAGACATTGTAAATCATAATCAGATGTTTCCAACAGTGGCAAGAGTGAATGAATGGGCCTGTAATTATTTCCAGTTTCTGTGGCAACATGACAACATGGACAGTGCTATGAGTTCATTGAAGTAAATGGATCAGTTTTAGTTTGTTTTCGGGTTTCAACATTTCCATGAGTCATACTTTGCGAATGAGATAATTGTGTGCTAGATCTGTCATGTCTTTGTTGGCAAAGACGAGTGAATAGTTCGAGGAAATAATGTAAAGTAAACACTTCCTCCCAAGTTACATTGTGCATGTTCATCTTCCCTTTTAAATGATCAACTTGTCCAAAACTAATCTTATTATTTCAGGTACGTCAAGATGAAAGAGAGATGAATTATGTGTAGCTTGACCTCACACTACCTGAGTTAACTATGTTTAGTCTGACCAGGACTCTTCACAAGTATCCAGCATCTTTGACTCTACTCTTTAAAGACCTCAATTAAAGATGAATGTGTGGAATGTGCGCTGTTCACAGCAGGCAGGCGAGTATCCTGGCATGATTGGAGTAGAGAGGGGAGGCGGGAGGGAGGGTTAGAGGAGCCTCCTTTAGCTAGCCTCATCCTTGTGAGTAATCGGACTTCTAGAAAGCTCACAAGTTTATCTAACAGGATGTAGTTTAAATTAGAAACAGGGCAAAAAAATCTGCTGATTTGTCAATGAGTAACTTTCACAATAGTGTAGCTGATGAAGTTTTATTCTGGTGTCCTGCAATGTCTCCTGGGTAAAAGGATTGGGATGTGTTTTTAAATTACATTTTTGGATATTGTTTACTCTCTTTGTCTTTGTTCAATATTTCCATTCTGCTGTGATGAAAGAACAACATTATTCACCACCCTTGACCATCTATATGTTAAAAGGAAACAACTTCTATTTGGTAGTGCTCCAACTTCCTCCAGTTCCTGTAATTTGTCAAGGGAAAGCATTTAACTCTCAGGCATCTTGGCAGCAATGCAAAACAAGGGGTGCTTAAGTGCAGCTTCCAAGATGAAGAAGAAAATCTTTACTTTATAGAAATGCATTTTTAAAGAAGCCAGATCTCCTGAGTTGTCAGCTTAATGAAAATCAGTTGCACTAGGAGTTTGGGGAGCAGTACTGAATTGTTGAGGACGGACAGGAAGCTAAGTCAGGAAGACCCAGCAGCTGTCAGCTTCTCTCAGGAACAGTGGGAGTGTGAGCCATTAAAGAGAAATCCCTCTTCTTCCAACAAGGAGATGCTCACTGCGGCAGATGATGATGATGATGATGATGTATTCCACACGTTAACTCTTTTAATCTTAATATTATGAAGTAACTTTATTGTTGACAAATCCTTTACGTGATTTAGTCTGCATCACATAAATGACAATGTAATGGATGACATCTCAGACTCGTGGTTAAATAGAGTTTAATGCACTTTAGAAAACAAGGGATCAATCTGTTACCCTAGGGGTTGAATGAGAATAGAACAATGTAGAAAGAAGATGCGGAAACAGAGAATGTTAGAAAGAAAAAATACTCAAGCAAACACAGAAGCTCAGTCATAGTGTAGTCATCAATGGTGCTTCCTTCTTTATTATGTAAGAATCAATGGTGCTTCCTTCTTTATTATGTGTATTTTATCAGTTCCTCTTTCTGAGTGTTTAAAAAGATGGTTCTCCATCCTAATTTAGATTTGTAGTGCCCTTTGTGACATCAGTGAGAAATCATCGGAGATCGTACATCATCTTCTTCTTAGCCCTTTAATGAAAACAATAAAAATAGGCAAATCCATTAGCTATCTCTGCACTTGCAGGAGCTGCAACTATTGATCAGGATACCTAATGGAGTGCTGCACCATCAGTTCGTGGAAGCAGTGCTCATCAGATAACATGCAAAGTCACCTGAAGGGGAATCAAGTTTTGCTCTGAGGAAGAAAGCCTGTGTAGAATTACATACCATTTGTTTGTAAGACATTGCTACAGGCAGCGGCAAGGACACTTGCCAGAGTTTTGGTGCCATAAATCTTTCTGGTCACCACAGTTAAGGCAGCATTGTGTAAAGTTACCCGACATTTGAAAGACGGACTGTGTCTCGGCAGGCTCGAGGCTTTCAGAGTGACTTTTCTTCTCTGCCCTGAGAAACGGGCTGCTGTCAACAAAGCCTGGTTTGTTCTAGAGGAGCAGCCACTTAATCAAGCTACTCCACAACACAGGGTTTCAGCACAGCTCCTTTGGATCTGAATGATCATCAGCAGTTCCACTCCACATGTAAATGGCAAATGGGAGTGTAATACATAACAGCTATAAAGAAAACAATGAAGCAGAGGTTTTTTTTAATATTACTCCCAAACCATGCCCTGTCAACTACATGATAGAAAAGAGCAGCTACGTTGCCTTCAGTGACCTAACAAATTATGTGGACACGTTTGCTACATTTTATTAGGTTTTAAAAATACCAGCAGTTGAATCAGTAGTTAAAATGATCAGGACAGAGGCCTTAAAATAACACAGCACAAACTGCTTGACAACAACAGTTAGGATCTATTCTATTTTTTGCTGTGAATTGTTTGGATTACACTTTGACCACGGACTGGTTTGAGCCTCCGACAACAGGGAAATGCTCTGCAGGAAGCAGAAAAGCCTGTTAAGCAACATGTTGGTTTTAAACAGCGCTACACTACAGTTTTTGACATGATACATTCTGTTTGTGACTCAGCCCATATAAAAATTAACTGACTCCCAAAATTTGGCTTCAACTGTTCTGCACCTTCTGTTTCAGTCAGTGTTACATCTTTTTTTTTCGGTTTAGGTCATGTCTAAACTCGACTTGATCTCATAAAAGTTATTTTATTATGTTATTATTCCCTGTGCGATTGGACAAGACACAACAATATATGTAAGCTCAAACAGCTGATAGTTATTTGCATAACTTCCCTGCAGCATAGTAACATCACAAACAATGGTGTGATAAGACTATACCTATCTTCTAAAGAATCGATTGCCTAAGCCACTAAAGCTGCAATGTCATTGTGTCACTTCCTTCCTTCCTATCATTTATGTTGACAATATGTCTTTGACCTGTGTCTCCTTTTAGCCATATTTGAATGCAACCAAACGGCACCTTAAGATACTGCTGACTTCTACCTTTAGACATCCTCAGCTTAGGGTCCCTTTTAGTTTAGCTCAGCCTTTTGCCATAATGTAACCCTCAGCTCCTTCAGAGACTCTCTGACCCAGTGAGAATGGTAGTGAAGAAAATCATGTCTCTGCTCCTTTTCAGCCTCTGCGTCAACCATCTGGAATGGCTCTGCCCCTGCTTGTACTCAGACATGATGACAAGTTCTCCACACCGCAGCTTCAAGACTGCATCCCAAATCACCAAAAATAGAATGCGTGTTTAAGGAAGAATTTGTCAGTATGGCTTCCAAGCATTAGCTAATGTGTTTAAGTGTTCTTTGTATCTGACCTGTTCAACAATCATTTAATTACATCAGCATGAGTTTAACATTTATAACTAAGTCTTGATTGCACTAAAGTATGAAAAGCACATGGCACAAATTATCACTTTTGACTTAATTGGTATAACTATAATGTAACTACTTTAATTACTACTGAAAACTATAATGTAACTACTTTAATTACTACTGAAGTTTAAAAAAAAAAGAAGCTCTTCTGCTAAGTGACATTAGATTTGTTTCAACTAAACAGACCTATGTTTCACACATTGTAAGTAAAACAAAAAGAAGATTTTAATATATATATATATCGTATATATATATATTAATATTCACTTTATTAGTGATTTACTTTGTTAGGTTTGTTGACGATACTCAATAGAAGTCAGTTCATTAAATGCGATCATGATGAATGTTATATTGCTATTATACCATGTGCAAAGAAAAGGTTTACTATTTCCTTATTTAGGCAGCTGATATGATTCAGCCAGTGTGGTTTATGTCCCAGTATGGATGTTTGTAAACCAGTATCAGGAGCGGTTTTGTGGGTGAAATTTGTCTCCCCACATAGTTGAGGTCATGGTGGGGGAGGTGAGTCATTCTGGCTCTTGAAGCAGAGGAGGCGTTCAGCTGCTTTACACATTATAGCTCTGTTCAACCCATGGCCAGGAGCTGCTTCGTTGAAATACTGGCTCAATGGCCAAGCACTGGGAAAACCTCCTGAAGTGGTCTGTGATTAAGTTGTGGCACAGCTGTAGCTGATTAATTGACTCATTATTTCATTAGTACTCTTATGTATGGAGTGATCTAAACAGTAAGCATTAAACAGGTGAAACTGTGTCAACATGTATAAATGTGGGCGTCTGGGCAGCAAGTGTTGACTGACACAGAAGCCACATGACTGATGACCCAGTCATCAAGGGCTGAGGGCGGGGAGACGGCCGAGTAAAAAAAAACATGAATGTGTCATGGTTCATGTGAAACTTGCATTTGGAAAAAAGTATTAGAATGTAGACATGGCAGGTGGCATTATAATGTAAAGAATGTACCGTAGTTGTATTTTATATTACTATTACAACTTTTTCACAAGCAGCACCTAAAGAAACAATGTTTCATGCAGTGAAAATAGATTTTTAATTCAATACATTTACACAATATACTCTTTTAAATAAAAAAATAAAAAAATGTAAACATCAGTTAATGGTTAGAGACGTGGCTCTTCGTAGGGCAGCAATGTCACAGACATTACCATCTGACGTGTGCTACTAATAAAAAATTTGGTCAAACAAAAAGCATTACTGCTTTACCCTCACAACATGTGTCTGTCAAACCTGCCTGGAGTTTCAAAAACAAACTGCATAATGTTTCTTACATTACATTGCAACAGAATAGGTTTGATTGTGACCTCTCCCAGAACTCTCAGTTCCTCTGTCCTCCTGTGACAATATGAGCCAAAACATATTGTAAGTGTGAGAAGTCAAGTTTGAACTTAAACAACAAAAGCAACCACTTTCTAAAACAAAACTGTTTCACATTGGTTTACAGATACTAACAGGTCAATTCCAAATTCTACAGTAGATGAAGGATGTTGTGTGTCATTTGGTAATTCGATTTCATAGGTGACCAAAGACCTTTGAATGTTAATTGTAAATGTTAATTGTAAAGCTTGTAAATACCTTTACTCATTTTTTGCAGGTGGGGAAGGAGACTGTGCAAACTACAGAGGACCAGATCATGAAAAGGGACATGCCACCAGCATTTATTAAGTAAGCACAAACTGAACATTTGCCTACCTCAAAGTCAAAGTGCCACATCAACAATGACGCTGTTCTTTCCTACCAGGATGTAGAACCCAGTAGTCTCTGTTTGGCTCTTTCTCTCTCTATATCAGTCGCTGTAATTGCTGATTGTGTGCCATCAAAGGTCAGATATGGCATGTTAAATGCCTTGGAGTCTTGTCCTGCTGTCCTTGTGCCCATCGAGACCCTAATTGAACACTCTGTTACAGATGTTTATCTCTTGAAACATAATAGAAAACTCCCAAATTAATTTTACGGACAGATGAACTAGAGATGTGTCCACTCATAATCGGTTCCACGTTGTTATAAATCGTACCTTGCACCTAGCTGCAGTTTGTACCATTCTTATTCAGCAGACAGAGGTAGAAGCACCAGTCCTGTGGGTCCCCTGCCGTCCCCAAGGTCAGGGATGAAACACATTGGCAGGCACAGGTCATCAGGCTCAACACATTTGGCGCCTCAAAGTCACATCCTCACCCTGTCGTCATCCATCAGCACAAGCGCTGGAATGTGTCTCCTACACTAAATATAGTGTCTGTTGGGGTCCGGTTAATGCATGGCCGTTATTTGCTGGTGCATGCTGAAGGACACTGACAACTAGTGGGACGATAGCGAATTGAATTTTCACATAGACTTTTTATGTCATGTGACGGCCATTACGCTTTAGCTACAGAACAATGGAAGTGTGTTTCCTTTTGTTTGATGCTTTGCAATGTAGTCAGTGCTAATCACGTGCTGCTGAGGTAAAATCTGGTTTGTACTGAAGGCTGATGTAGGACGTCAGTGCACTGTGGGAATTAGAGCGTGTGTTGTCCTCTGGCTTGTTGCCATTTGTTTGTGCAATATGACTGCCATGATACTATGCAGGTGGCATGTATGAACCTGTGCCAAAAGCCTGAACCTGCAGTTTTGTCGCTCCAACATTAAGAGACTGCATTGCACCTAGCAGTCAAATGTTAGCGTTTTTGTTGGAGCTAAGCTTGGCCAGTGAAGCACACACTCTGTGCTGACGCCTCGTCCCCCCCAAAAAAAACATTAGTAGATACAGTATGTAGAGAAATGCAAAATGCCAGTTTCCTTGCTTTAAATGAGAATGAATCAGTGTCTTTTGTCTTCTTCCTGAGGATTTTTTCCTGTGTTCTAATATAAATCCACTTCTTCTCGACACAGAGTGGAGAATGCGTGCACTAAGCTGGTGCAGGCTGCCAGCATGTTGAAAGCCGATCCGTACTCTGTCCCTGCTCGGGATTACCTCATTGATGGCTCCCGGGGCATCCTCTCTGGGACCTCTGACCTGCTGCTGACCTTTGACGAGGCTGAGGTATGTTTTCATTCCTTTATATTTCTGCATTTAATTTTAGAGATGTGTCAAACAGCAGGATGTTATGCAGGTAGGTGAGAAAAACCGTGGGCGCTCTCACAGGAAGTAGATATTGAGCTAGTGACGCAACAAAACAATATGTTTAAAGGTGTCATTTCTCCAGAACTCAATCATACTTTTGTTTGTTTAGAATATGTTGTGATGGTTTTCTGAATCATTTTCTGTGCCTGTTAACAAGGTATTCGTGCAAAAATACTGCATGCTTACAATTATTTCGACCGTTCCTTTCTCTTTATCTGGATGTATGATGTACTTTGAGATTACATTTGAGACAATAACCAGATAATGTGTTGATAACCTAGTCTCAAAGGTAAAAATTTCCTATCATTTCAGTCTGACTTTTATTATTCTCAAATGATTGTCATTAAAAAGTACAATAAATGTATTATATATATTCACGTTTACTTAAATAGATAGAACTTTATTAGTCCCTTGGGAGTTCTATTATTATTACAATTATTATTTTATTTTCTATTTGTTCATTATTGGTGTTATTATTATTAGTATGTGTTGCCCTGCACACGACAACAACAGCACAGTGTGCAACAGCCTGCAGGACTCAGCAAGAGTCATTTCTCTTCATTAGTGCTCCAGTGTTTTGTTTTAATCTGAATTCTGTGTCAGCTCTGTGCACAGGAGTAATGACTCCTGCACTCCACACAGAGGTGTGAGTGACGCAGGACAACCAGGCTGGAATGTTGGCAGCAATGTAGAGATTAAAGCCATGACTTCTCTTTGAATTAACCTGCATCGGTGTCTCATCTGGCAGGTTCGCAAAATCATCCGTGTATGCAAAGGCATCCTTGAGTACCTGACGGTGGCCGAGGTGGTGGAGACGATGGAGGACTTGATCACATACACAAAGAACTTGGGACCGGGTCAGTGGCTCTGACACACTTACAGGATTACTAAATATAAAGTGAAGTCAAGGAATGTTACACATCATTGTTGTCTAAAAGTAATGTCAAAATGCCAAGTAGAATACTTTGATGCAACTACAACTGACATCCTTCTCTAACAATATTTAGCTTTAGAGTTTGAGTAGCAGCATTATTGCTTTGTTGATATTTCAGGTGCACGTGTTTTTCTCTTGAAAACATTCCAAACAATTCCACAATGGCGGCTTCGTCTAAACACTTCTTCTCAGCTAGGTCTTTGTTTACATTCTTGTGGATGATCAGTTTATAAAACAAAAACCAGCTGTGGTCCATATATTAAAAATCTAAACAGCCCAAGTACATATAATAATTATAATTATCCAACTCCTATTGGTTTATGTGTATCCTCTACAGTTGTGGTTCTCCTCATCCAGACACATAATCAGTCCAGTACGTGACTCTAAGTTCATTTCCATCCTTTTTAATTTGTTTGCCTTTTTACAGGAACGGCAAAGATGGCAAAGATGATAGATGAGCGGCAGCAGGAGCTGACGCACCAGGAGCATCGTGTGATGCTGGTCAACTCTATGAACACAGTCAAAGAGCTGCTGCCCATCCTTATCTCAGGTAGCTAAACTCTCTCATTTTTCTTCAGTTAATTTACTTTTTTCAGGGGATGGGGTGGGTTTATACACGTGTACGGTCCATACAATTCCCCAAATGTAGCATGTTTTCTTTGTATCCCTAAGAGAAAACTTTGTCTTGCTTCATATATTAGGAATTAAAATATTTGTGACAACCAAGACATCTGGCAGCCAGGGTGTTGAAGAGGCCTTAAAGAACCGGAACTTCACTTTTGAGAAGATCAGTGCTGAGATAAATGAGATCATCAGAGTGCTGCAGCTCACATCCTGGGATGAGGATGCGTGGGCCAACAAGGTACACATGTGTGAAATGTGTTTATGTGTGATACGGCTGCCATGTTTTTTGAGATGATGAAGGCTTTTTATTTCCTTTCTTCTTTATTTATTGATCTTTCCTAGAAATATACTCACTGGATGAATGTATTTCCTGCCTTGGAGTCAAATCAAAAATGCTTTTGCTATCATTTAGCTCACAGACAGTAGGGCTGCTTTCCTTTCCGCTCTCACTTTTGTTTATAAATCTGTTCAGTGAAATATATCATTATTATTCTTTTTATGCTGCATATTATAATAACTTCTAATTACCTCTGATTATTGGCTCTCAATAATCAAATTTATCGTACATTAAGAACAATCTAGGCTTTCGCCCTGTGCCACTTTTCTCAGTCCTGACCTCTTTTGTTGCGCTCCATTTTAAACATTTGTATTTCTGTTGTTTTCCTTTTCTTTTTTTACTGATTATTTCCCCCCCTCACCCCCTGTAGAAGGTAAGTCTTTCTCCTCTCGCCCCTGGTTTGCACAGCGGCATGTCTGACAGATGTGTGCATTGATGTGCCATTGTGTGCTTCTAAGCAGTGGGACTGCAGTGAAAATACATAATGTCGGCTAAAAAAAAGGCGACATTAGTAATTAGGAATTATTTTACATAATCATGACACTGGAATGTTTTTTATAAAACATTCCAGTGAATGAACTGGATTTTGAAACCATGCCGATGTTGTTTTTTTGGTTTTCATTTGACGTGCTCCATGTTATTACAGTGAATAACCTCTACGTGTTGTCCTTCTGCATTGTTTCAAAGACAGGATTTGCAGTTGTTTCGTCTGTGGTTATTGATTGCGCTGACTCATGTGACATTGATTAGGTTTCTCATCTCTGCGTCATCCCTCTCCAACTGTATAATCCACTTTTATCCTCATCTGCCTAAAGAGGACAACACAGAGAACACATGATCAGGAATCTGATGATGGAATGGCTGTTCATTTAGTTGGTTTTCAGTGGATTTTTCTTGTTACTTAACATCATAATCTTACTACTTGAATACTACAAATGTCTGTTAACCATAACATGGTTCACATTTACTAATAACAGAATGCACGTGACTCTTCTTCTACTGGGTGTGCCTTTAAACGTCTTAGAAGTTTGTTTGTGGGTCATCTAACGTTTCCCTGCCTTTTTCATCACACATGATGACGTTACATACAGACCACGGCTGCGTGAGAAAAAGCCAAATAATGCATCACCACATCTGGTAATGCGTCTTTGCACCTTTCTACTTCCTGTTTTTCCCCCAGCCTGCTCAGCTCTGTGACTTCACACTCCCACTTATGCAAACAGACGTGCAGGTGCTTTCGTTCTAGCGACGCAAGGGTTCAGATATTGTAAAACCATTTCCTTTTCCTGATGCAAATTTCTTCAATTATTCTTCTCAACTCCAAAAAAAAAAAACACCCAGTTCACGGGTCACTCATCTGCTCTGGTCTCCAGCTTAGTTCCATTCACCCACAGAACTGTTTTCTGTTTTGCCCACTTTGACAATGAATGGACTTATTGTCAAGTCAAAGGCTGTTGGACATATCATTGTATTTCCATCCAGGATGAATGAGATACAATGGAGACTTCCTTTGGTTCTTCCAATACGACATGTAGGAAAAACACTTTCTAAAAGTGTATGCTGAACCCCACTGTGGCTCAGGGAGGTTGATGATGTGCACATGGAAGTTTCTGTTTGTTTGGGTGTGTTTTGATTAAAAACTAAACACTGGGTCTGGTTAAGGAAACTGGGAGAGCCTGTGGGAAGTTTAACAAAGAATTACTTTATTCTCAAGAAAAAGAAAAACAAGTCAGGGCTCTTTTGTTTTTAACAATGGTGCGATACAAAGACATCCAGAATATCACAAATAAAAAATGACTATGTGTTGTAATAAATACCGTGAGTTTTTTTTTTTAAGCAACCATTTGTACGTCTCCTGATAGACTTCTTTTGTGTTAAGGTTCATTCTTTAATTGAAGCGCTTGCTTTTAGGGTGATTAATAATTCAGTCTTTTCAATTCAAAGGATACCGAGGCTATGAAGAGAGCACTGGGGCTCATCGACTCTAAGATGGCCCAGGCGAAGAACTGGTTAAGGGATCCGAACGCTCCACCAGGTGGTTAAAAACACCCCCTTAAATAACCCATTTAAATCTTCATAAACTTAGTGTATATGTTGATGTGGCTAACTGCCGTGTGTTGCGTCTTAAGGGGACCAAGGTGAGCAGGCCATACGGCAGATCCTGGATGAAGCTGGCAAAGTGGGTGAGCTGTGCACTGGGAAGGAGAGACGAGATATTCTGGGCACCGCCAAGACCCTTGGCCAGATGACTGATCAGGTGTCCGAGATGAGGGCCAGGTACAGAACTGTAGTCGTCTTTGTCACATTTATCACCAGACATTTCACCATAACACTCATTTCTTATACCAGACAAATTTAATAATTACTGACAAGTGAATAAAAGTAAGAAACTACATTGTAAAAGTTCATGATTCTTTACATATTTTGTAGCATTATCTGTAGGTTTCAGAGGAAGCCCCCAGCAACAAGCTAATGCTGTTTTGGGGAACTTGGTGTGGAAAAGTTTGGGAACCCCTGATATACACTGTATAGCTATGTACAGTGTATGGAACTGGTGTTACTATTAGGGATTGTGTAGAGATTATGCTGTAACAATATAGAGTGGAAATCTCTCTACTGGGATTTGTGCTTCAGTTGTGTTAGATTAAAAGCAGCTGTCTGGCATAGGGTCTGTTAAAAAAAGGCTATTCTCAACAAGGAGAGACTGAGTCTCAAGCTTAAGAAGTCAGCAAATGTCTCGATCGAAGAACAAGTGTCTAACTATGTGCTTGTGTGGCCATTTAAAGCAATTCCACATTGAACTTAGAAGTGTCCATATGTTCTTTTTTTCCAACCCAGAGGTCAGGGGGCGTCCCCAATTGCCATGCAGAAGGCTCATCAGATTTCCCAAGGCCTCGACGTACTCACTGGCAAGGTGGAAAATGCTGCTCGCAAACTGGAAGCCATGACTAACTCTAAACAGGCCATCGCCAAAAGGATCGATGCAGCCCAGGTCAGTCTTGTACATCTGTGTTTGGATTCCAAACGTCTTAGTGTACTTTTATAATGAAGGATTTCTAAATGTATCTTGATCCAGAACTGGCTCTCTGACCCTAATGGAGGTCCAGAGGGAGAGGAGAACATCAGGGCTCTGCTCACTGAGGCCAAAAAGATTGCAGACATGTGTGAGGATCCCAAAGAAAGAGATGACATTTTGCGGTCTATTGGAGAGATCGCTGCGATGACTGCCAAACTCTCTGATCTCAGAAGACAGTAAGTAAATGACTGTGAGAGTCAGTTTTATGCTTGGATTTTTTTTTCTCTTTTGAATTCAAGCCTAGTTTAATTGTAGCCAGCCACACTAACCCTGATGGTCTGCTCTCACACTCTACAGTATTACAAATGCACTCATTCATTTCCTCCATTAGCTCCATTAGTACTCTATATTTATTGTCTCTTTTGAGCAGCCGCAAGGAACATTTTTTTTGGTTGGAGGGAACTCTCTGATTATGAGCTTTAACTGAAAAGTTTGAAAGTCAAGTATGAAAATGTTCTCTATTTTCTCCATCTTACATTAATTATATTCTAGTTTGTGCTTAAAATAACATTTCACTAAGATGTTCCTAATACGACAGACACGCTGTATCGTCCTAGTTTTATGTGCCCTTTGAAAAGTTTGAAAGTCAAGTATGAAAATGTTCTCTATTTTCTCCATCTTACATTAATTATATTCTAGTTTGTGCTTAAAATAACATTTCACTAAGATGTTCCTAATACGACACGCTGTATCGTTCTAGTTTTATGTGCCCTTAAAGTCCAAGTCAAACAATTTTTGCAGCTTCAAACAATTAAAACAACAAATTAACATTAACTTCTCAAATCAAAACCTTTTGGTTTCCCAGTCATTTCCTTTTGAAAGATTAAACAACCCCTTCTTTTTTACCTGCAGGGGTAAAGGTGACAGTCCTGAGGCCAGAGCTTTGGCTAAACAGATTGCAACCGCTCTGCAGAACCTGCAGTCCAAAACCAACAAAGCCGTGGCCAACAGCAGACCTGCGAAGGCAGCGGTTCATCTGGAGGGAAAGATCGAGCAGGCGCAGCGCTGGATTGACAATCCCACAGTAGATGACAGTGGTGTTGGTGAGTCTGGTTTGCGTCCTCACCAAATTCCTCGAGTCCCATTATCTTTCCTTACACGCTTCAGTTCTGTCCCCTGCTCTCGGAGCCTAATTATAGCGTAGGCTTGTACTGTATTCTGCAACAGCCTTGGTTATGTTTGTGAAGTTTTTTGGCCCGTGTTTGTTGTAGGATGTACTTGAAATGATAGTGAAAGAGATAGAGTGAAAAATGTAAACACTGCCATCAGCAAGTTCATTCCAGTGTTCAGTATCAATAATATTTTTGGGTTTTTGGTCCATAATTCTGATTTAAATGAAATGAAAGTCTTTGATGATCCCATTCAAAAAAAAAATCTAATTTGAAGTGTGTGTTTTCAGGCCAGGCTGCCATCCGTGGCCTGGTGGCAGAGGGCCGCAGGCTGGCCAATGCTCTGCCTGGGCCTTACAGGCAGGAGCTGCTGGGTAAATGTGAGCAGGTGGAGCAGCTCATGGCCCAGCTGGCTGACCTGGCCGCCCGAGGTGAAGGGGACTCCCCGCAGGCTCGTAACGTGGCCCATCAGCTGCAAGAGGCCCTGAAAGTAAGACAACTCCTATCTCTCCACTTCTGTCAATCAGGAGGCTGGAGCAGAGCGGTCAAAGAGTTCCCTCTGCTGGTTGTTGAAATATAATGAAGTTTACTCTTTAAACAGTGTCATTTAAATACATTATAATAGTCTGCTGTTCAAAATACAATACAAGATGTTAATGTAGAATCTTACTTTTGTTACTTTGTTACTTTTTGTGTTATTTTTGAGATCAGCTGTTTTTCATTCATACTTTTGAAAGCAACTTCATAGTTTTTGCACTGTACAATAACCACATGAAGCTTACATTTGGATAATTAGATTTTATTGGCATTAATGAACAGTGACTCATCTCAGTCCATACAAATGTGCTGACCAGTTCTAACAGCCTTTTTTCATCTTTCCAGGACCTGAAAGGAAAGATGCAGGAGGCCATGACTCAGGAAGTGTCTGACATCTTCAGTGACACCACCACCCCCATCAAATTACTGGCAGTGGCTGCGACTGCCCCTCTGAACACCCCCAACAGAGATGAGGTCAGTGGTAGTCATTTTTTCCTCTATGACGTCACTGCACCGACATGGTCTTTTTCTGCTTGTTACATATTTTTTTAATCTAACCTTTTTGGATGATTGTTTAATCGGACCACGTGCAGGTCTTTGATGAGAGAGCCGCAAACTTTGAGAACCACGCCAACAGGCTGGGCGCCACGGCAGAGAAGGCCGCTGCGGTTGGCACGGCCAACAAGAGCACAGTGGAGGGCATCCAGGCTGCTGTCAAGTCAACAAGAGACTTAACACCACAAGTATGTTACACTGTGGTGTTTCTACTGTGTCTCTCACCCTGTTTGTGTGTTCTGCAATGTAACAGGTCACTGAGATTTGAGTGTTTAGAAAAGTCATCTTTGGATGAACAAGTATAATTTTAAATAAAAAAGATTACTGTTTATGTAACAATTTTAATGTTACAGGCAGCAACAAAACAAACCAATGAAAACAGTTAGGACAGGAAACACTAAGTGACATTGAGGTCAAATGTTATTGGGCAATCAGATTTGCAGCTCTTCACTTTCCATTTGGCTTTGTTTTGACACGTTCACACGTAACGAAAAATGCAAAATTCATGGTTAGCTTCTGCAGTTCTAAACAAAGACCCATGGTTGAGGGGTGAGGATGGAAAGTTGCAGTGTTCCAGACATGATAAATGGACCACCTCAATGACTGTTGTTGTGTTTTTAGGTGGTGTCAGCCGCTCGTATCCTGCTGAGAAACCCTGGCAACCAAGCTGCGTATCACCACTTTGAAACCATGAAGAATCAGTGGATTGACAACGTGGAAAAAATGACAGGTGACCCCACTGCTGTTCTGTATGATAAACCTGCGACTGGAAATCCCTTTATTAACATGCGCCGAATGTTTAGGGTTGGTGGATGAGGCCATTGACACCAAATCTCTACTGGATGCCTCCGAGGAAGCCATTAAAAAGGACTTGGACAAGTGTCAGGTAGCCATGTCCAACCAGCAACCTCAGATGCTGGTTGCCGGTGCCACTAGCATCGCCCGCAGAGCCAACCGTATCCTCCTGGTGGCCAAGAGAGAGGTGGAGAACTCTGAGGACCCTAAATTCAGGGAGATGGTGAAGGCTGCATCCGATGAACTGAGCCAGACTATTTCTCCAATGGTGATGAACGCCAAGGCAGTGGCTGGAAATATCCAGGATCCACGTAAGACGATGGCGGCCATCATTTAGATTGTTATTTTTAAATGTATATCCAAGACATTCCAGTCATTTTCGTGTGTTTGTATGAATCACCAGATCTTCAGAAGGGCTTCCTGGACTCTGGTTACAGGATCCTTGGTGCTGTTGCCAAGGTCAGAGAGGCCTTCCAGCCACAAGAACCAGACTTCCCACCACCTCCTCCTGAACTGGATCAGCTCAGTGTAACATTAATATTTCTTTCAGTTAGTTTTTTGACATTCTTTTTGCACAATAGTAACACATATTTCATGTTCTCACAGCTAAATGATGAAGCTGCACCACCCAAGCCTCCTCTTCCTGAGGGTGAGGTTCCTCCTCCCAGGCCTCCTCCTCCTGAGGAGAAAGATGAGGAGTTTCCCGAGCAGCAAGCTGGTGATATAGTTAATGAACCTATGATGGTGGCTGCCAGGCAGCTCCACGATGAAGCTCGCAAGTGGTCCAGCAAAGTAGGATGAAGCCTTGATCTATTTTTTTCACTTATACTTTGATTTCACTTATAACTATTTTAACTTTGTTCCTGCTCTGTCATTAAGGGAAATGACATCATTGGTGCTGCCAAACGAATGGCCTTGCTCATGGCTGAAATGTCGCGCCTGGTGCGTGGAGGCAGTGGAAACAAGCGTGCACTCATCCAGTGCGCCAAGGACATCGCTAAGGCCTCTGATGAGGTTACACGGCTGGCAAAGGAAGTGGCCAAGCAGTGCACTGACAAGAGAATCCGGACAAACCTGCTCCAGGTCAGTGTGTCTTTGTCAGGTGGCTAAAGAACAGCTCCGTTGTCGCCCTCTGCTGACTTTCTTCTCTTGTTGCAGGTGTGTGAACGCATTCCCACCATCAGCACACAGCTTAAAATCCTGTCCACGGTCAAAGCCACTATGTTGGGTCGTACCAACATCAGCGAAGAGGAGTCAGAGCAGGTGTGCACTGAAACAATCACTTGTATTTTCTTACAATGACGTGCTTTATTTTACTATGGAATTATTAATTACCCAAATTAAAAACAAGACCTTGAGGTCACAATTATTGATCACCTGGAGGTCTTTTGTCTTTTGGTCATAAAGGTCACACAACTAGACCTTTATGTCCTGCAAAAGACCTCCGAGCTCTTCATCTCAGTGTCAGGACAGGGATTTTTGGGTGTCTCTTTCTTTTGTTTCTAATAATTAGACAGTGTACGCCAAGTCTACAGGTTGTCACAGCTGAGACTGAATCACTTCCTCTTTTCCCACCAGGCGACCGAGATGTTGGTCCACAACGCTCAGAACCTGATGCAGTCTGTGAAGGAGACGGTCAGGGAGGCTGAGGCAGCTTCCATCAAGATCCGGACTGATGCAGGCTTCACCCTCCACTGGGTCAGGAAGACGCCCTGGTACCAGTAAGAGGGCTCTCCCTCTTGTCCTTCTACCCATGCTGGTTCTGTCCAGCTGTCTGGGAAGGACACTGTATGGACAGATGTATACTTAATCAGAGCTACAGTATGCGTCCTTTACTTTAATATGGGTTTGTCTGTTAGCCCCATGTCCTGTCTGTAACAGTTGCTGTTCTATTAGAATTTAAAATAGGACTGTTAGAACCAGTTATGGGTCACAATCTTACTGGGAATGTCATTTTTCTAAAGTGTGCAAAAAGATAAAAAAAGAAATGTGTTTAAGTATTATTTTGACAAATCCCAGAAATATATATTTTGATTAGAGGTCTGATTTCATATTATGTAAGGTGGAAGAAATAAAAAAAAAAAAGTTTTTCTCCAGACATTTTTATATATTTGTACTGGTATACATTAGTACCATGCCTTCATCCCTGTTGAACAAAAAGGCACAGTACAAACCTACACAGCACACATTACGTATATAAAATACAATTATGTCTGTTTACACTATTTCTTATTATCACAGGAGAGAAAAAAAAATACTGTCCCTTGTTTAAATAATAGCAAAGGTTCATTTTCAGTTTACAGTTCTGCCAAAGAGTGTCTGCCACAGTTTCTGAAGCTTGTGTGGTTTAATATAATGGTTCAATATTCAGACTGATGTTGAAAAAATCTTTTTTAAACATTTCTAACACTACTACAAGATGACACACTTGGTTTTATGTGAACATACTGAGAAACATGGAGAAAAAAATGGAGACAGTCATTGTTTAAAAGTCACTGTGTTTCACCTTCCTCAAACCTTAATATTAAATGCACCTCTATCATTGAAACAATGTACCAGGTATCATTTACTGTAATTCAAAGAACACTGATGACCTAAGTTTTGGAAATGCTTTTTGCAGAGTAGGTTAATTTGTTTTATTATTATTATTTTGTAATAATAAGAGGAATTTAATAACTTTCTTGTTGAGAAAAACTATTTTATAGTATTTTTTATATATATTTCTTTGCTCACGGTTGCAGCAACTCACTGCCCCTATGTTTTTTTCCTTCTCAGTCAATAAATGGGTTAAATGGAATGTTGCATTCTTTTTTCTGCTTTGGTGCCAAGTAACTTAAGAACATAAGATTATTTTATTAATTTTGGTGGCAGAAGACTACATATTTTAATGACGCTTAATATCAGCACTTCAAAAGAAAGTTGGTGAACAATGACATCTACTGGTCAACTTAGGCATTTCCAAGAAACTGTTTTCAGATTTGTTTTATTTAATAAGTGATTGTTCGTCCTACAGTGAGCATTGACAGTTAAGGTAAGGAGAATAAAAAGTAAAAATAAATGTTACAAGACCAGCATCTTAGTGCTGAGGAACAATTGGAGAAAAGGTTAAAAAGGTATTGTACATTTTATAACTTTTATTATTTCTGGTGTTGTTTAAACTATATTAATTCCTTATTAATTCTCACTTTAATTTTAGTTGCTGAATAAACCGTCGTCAAATGAAAATGCAAATAAATATTAGTCTGCAGAGAAACCAGTGGATGATGCAAGAAGTCTTAGTAGTAAAGTGTTTATTACTAACTGGAATCTGATGTTTTATCCCGTGGAAGGCAATCTGTGGTTATATATACACGAACCCTGCAGCCTTACAATGAGAAGTTAATATTTATCTAAGAGAAATTGAAAGGCCGGTGAAGATAAGCAGTTCAGTCAGATTCTTTCTGGTGCTGCAGGTTGGAGCTGGCTGGTTTCTCCATTATTATCATCCTCATCACCATAACCACAACCACAACCATCATCAGCACCGTGTGTGTGGAGGGCAGCCGCAGCTATTCTCTATTCCAGCCGTCTGTGTGCAGGGGCTTGTCGGCCTCTATAGCGTCGCAACACTCGTCGCTTCTGCCGCGGCTGGTTTAGAGACTATCTGGAGAGGACGTTAACATGAAGACTTCGAAGAAAACAGCGTTAAGGTAATAACCGTGTAGTATTAGCATGTGCTGTTTGTCGGTACTCTGCTACTGCGGTTAGCTTTTACTATTGTGTCAGGTGAAGAGTGGACCTGTGTTCACTGGGCCATTAAAGCAGCGCGGACATTAAAATGAAACTGCTAAGTCGGATACACAAGTCCTGCTAATGTTACAGGTGTTAGGTTTGTACAGTGCTAAGTGCAGCTAACGGCGCGGGTGTTCCTTTATCTCCAGGACCCGTAACATATATTTTCAGCCGTCCGTATTTGTAAATGTCAGTTGATTTTATATAAATATCCGTAGTTGTAGGTAAGCAATTCCCCTTTAATCTAACATTAACAGTACTGACATCTGGAAAACCGCATCCTTGTTATGCATATTGTGAACAATGCGGCGTTCACCGGACGTACGGGGAAGTCATTAGAGCGTAGAGAAGGAAGTAACAGTAAAATATGGTATTCACTTTATGCCATGAAGTTATGGATAGCATACAAATAAATGTTTAGTTTTTAACTACGTAGACATGTTTAACCCTTAAGTTAATAATTTTGCTCTGCTTTTGTAACGGATCGCGCTTGGAGTTCATTGTTTCTTATTGACACTGAACGCAGCATTAAACCTCTACACGCTGGGAACATATGTAGCGTATCACAGGAGTCGAAGTGACACGCCCCGCCTACGTCTCTTATTAGCCAATGATTGTGGGCTAAAATTTAGGTTCAGTTCCTGTAGTCTAAAAGCACGTTGCTTTGACAGAGGAGAAAGCTGTTGGTCATTTATTTTTTTAATTACTGTTATATCTGTGACATTTTTTTTGTCATCATGCCTGGTGCAAGGTAAGAATGATACAGTTACTGGTTTTTCCACATAGAACACGTTTATTGTAATAACTGTGGTTGTATTAATAGTTTAACGGTTTTGGTAGTCTTAATTAAAAGCTGGTGATATGTGTGCCGTTTTATCGCATATAACTAACGTGACTGACATTTATGGAACTACCTCGTCATAGTGATTTTCTTCATAATAATTGGGTAAAATGTTGTAAGACAACTGTAGACTTTGACCACTTATATAACTACAAACACCTCCATAAAACGGTTATTACATTTCCATGCATGCATTTTTTTTTTTTTTTACAAATCTTTTTTTCATTACATCACAGCCCCAGATATGAGTCCATGAGTCTATTTGGACTTTTAGCCATCTCAATTGGTGTCTTTTGTTTCCTGCCACATGCAGTTTAGAGCACGTGCCAAAGGTCCACCATAATATGTGAAGCATGTGATTCTCATCATTTTTCATTAATTTTATTCAGGGAATCAGAAACAGAAGATTGTCTGTGTCATAGTGGTTGCTTGATTCCATCTGTCTAGTTGAGGTTTGCCTACAACAATCTGTTTTTGTCTCCTCACAGTGAAAACACTCTTTTTGGGATGGGAAATCCCTTGCTTGACATCTCAGCTGTTGTGGACAAGGATTTCCTTGACAAGTAAGCAAAGCAGATTTATTTCCCAGAAAATAAATCCTCAAGTACCTTTGAACTAAATCAAACCAAATTTCTAAACATTTTTAGGTTTGGCCTAAAGCCCAACGACCAGATCCTCGCCGAAGACAAACACAAACCCTTGTGAGTCACAGCTACACAAGAACACCACGTGCTGCTAATGTAATGCAAAGTGTGAGATTATATGCGACCTAATAAGGACCACGCTGGCTATGCAGACCCACTACTATCCTCTGGACAGTGTAGGCTGTGTGCCTAAAAATAGCCCAGTCATAAATTTGACCCCTGCTAACAGAAGTTGCAGAACATGACGCCCACATTTTCCCCGTCCTGAATTAGATCGGAATACATTGTTACCTATAGCAATATTATATTTTGATCCACTATTTAACTACGTGGTGTAGATAAATCTTTATTTGGTTCTCACTAAACATTGCATGCAAAGGCAGTAAAAAAGAAAAGTAAAATACCACGGTGCGTAAACAAATACTGGTAAAACAGAGAAAGCTAAGTTACAGTGGAGGGTTTGAACCGTGTCTAAGAACTGACTTGGGTTCATACAGTAGTGCAGTGATTGTCAAATGGCTGAATCCAGCCCACTCAACCGTCAAATCTGGCCCATGACTGGATTCTAAAATTGTGAGGATCGAAGAGAAATTATTTTGTTGTCCAAACAATTACAACATGTGAGAAAACAACAACTGAGACTAAAATAACTACCAGTAATCACCACGATTAATGACTACTTTATATGCTGTTAGATAAAATAATAATAATTAATATGACTTAACCTCATGCAGTTCCCCAAACTTTGATGTTGTATTAGGGGGCTTCGTTTTTGACATTCACACATTTACACCTTATCTGTTATATGTGTGGTAAACACATTGCTATGTGCTGGATACAGGGGGCACTTATGCAGTGGTATTTCGGGAGGGGCCGAGTGTGATTGTTTCATTGGCCGGCCGGTTTAAAAAATTGAAACCACATTGCTGTGATGACATGTCACACTTCAGGTCACACCTCTGCTGTGGCATATTATTGGCTCAACAGTATATATTTTAATATTCTATAGTACCCTGTCCTGTAATTAATTGATTTAAGGATAATTTTATAAATCTTTGGTTAGAGTATTTTTATAACAATTAGTACAATGAGTGATTCCCAATTTTAAATGCAGTAAATTATACTTCCACTACACTGCGTCACTTTAGGGATGGTGTTCTTTGAGTTGCATGCTTCTCTCTTCTCCTTCTTCAGCCATAGTCATCATCTGTTTGTCCAAGAAGTTCCACTCAGGTCTCATCTGACCAATTGAAAAGGTCCTGTAAGGTCATCCTTCTTCATCTTCTTCTTGCTTAAACTGGATTTTTCCAGAGCTCTAGTGACACTTTTGGCATCTTGACACCACACTTGACTTAGTGATTCACTCTGGACAAGGCAGTTACTGTATTCCAAAGTCATTACAGACAAATTGAGTGGCTCAAAGCCTCCTGAGTTTGACTAGTACGCCCTCAACTGTAGTTACAGATTCCTGAAAGAAAAAGGAAACACCGTTCCAGAATAACACAGCTTTGTTGACTCTATAGTGTAAATCTGTACATCAGGTTGTCTGTGCCTCACAGTGAGCAACCTGTCAGGTCTAGTTACTGGACAAAGGGACATGTGTGACCTTGGGCAGTAGCAGCAGCAGCAGCAGCAGCGGCACAAAGCCTCAACATCAGCACTGTTGTTTTCCTGCACCACAGAGGCAGCAGTATTATCTTTGGCCTAACAGACACCGTTCCCTCCACATTCTACACAAGGTCAGGGCAGGATTAACATGCAGCTTTGGTGGTTAAATTCCTAACACAATGCATTTTAATGCCCGCGTGCCCACTGACACCTCCCACACAGCTGCACTGAGGATGTAATGTTTGGTCAGTTTACGCTTAAAAAAACATTTCATGTCTTACACCCGTAATAACTGTTGCACTTATTGTGTGTCGTAGATGCAAAGATATGATTCTTTCTGCTGTTTTGTTTTTCGGGCAAGGCGGAAAACATTTCAGCGGTTGAAGTGCGAGGAGGTCGTTCACAAGGTCATTGATCCGTGGATGAGGAAGAACGCGGCTGAAGTGTTGTGACAAATCACATCATTAGTGAAAAGGCCACGGTGGACTTACGAGCGGCGGTGGCGGCAAACACCATTGTTGTGCTTATGAGTGTACAAAGTGTAACATGATTCATTTCTTTCCCGCATCACCCTGGTGAGGCAGAGATCATTGGATGCAGTGCACTGTGGCCATGCCCTAATTCAATTATCTAGTCACAGCAGAGCCCGTATAATCCTGTTGTGGCTGAGAAATTGCCTGCTGTACAGTAGAAACCATCAAGTTCAGGTTTAGTACTGACTGGGGACCTATTTATGTATTCTTTTTTTTTTTTCCTGAAAAAGTCTCTGCTATGTCTTGGACGCCTTCAGACGTAGTTTTAAACATTGAGAATTTGGCAGAAGCAGTTGATTAAAACATGTTGGCAGTACTTATATTGCAAGTAATTCTACTACTTTACTAAGGCAGGCAGATGAACACAATTCTCTAAAATGACACAGGCCACAAAAAAAAAAAAAAAGGATCGACCGCCCAAGAAAGAACAGCTTCCTCATGCTCCTTGTCGTGTAGCGATTAAAACACATACCATGTAACCGCAATGTTGCTGGTTCATTTCCTGCCGTAGACTTTTGACCACTTGTTCTCCCAGCATGTTTCACTGTAATAACAACCAAAGGCTAAAGAAAATATTTCCATCCATCCATCCATTTTCCGTTATCCGCTTATCGGTTAAAGAAAATCCAAATATTTTATAAATAATAAATAATAAATGACATCCACCTAAGATGACTTGTTTTTTAGCTTTTTCTTATGAGGTCGTCACTGTGCTTTGTGTTTCCATGCTGGTCGGTAGGCTGTTGTTGTTTTAAAAGGATATTGTTTTTTCAGATTTGCCTGTGTGGCTGTGTGTGAGACACCATTGTCATAAAGCACTCTCTGAACAGTGTGATGCCCTTCAATGCCTCAGATATCTTACATTTTTAGTCACTGCTGCCATCATGTGGTAGATAAAGTCCAAGGCTGTTGAACTTAATATTTATATAACCTTGATATTACTGGGTTACATGGCGATAAAGAGCAGTGAATGACTTAGTATTTCAATATTTACCTTAAATCCCATGCTCAACAAATTAATTCACAATTTTAATTATTATTATTTAATTCTTTTTTTGCATTAGTAATATTTTGCATTACTTTCAGCAATAGTGATGTTGTTGTTTGACCCTGTTGACCTCTCTCTCCTTGAGTTTTTTTTGTTTGTTTTATTTTTTCTAATTTTTATTATTGTTTTTAGCATTAGCATTCATTTGCAGTAAACGGGGATTGTACCTCTTGTTGCCAGCAGGAGGCAACAGTAGCCTGCTGTTCCCACCCCTCAGTCTCCAAAGGAAACATCATGTCAACATAATGAAAACACGCCTCCTTCTGCAGGAGATTATAATGTGGGCAAATAGACATTTTATTTCGGGATAACCAGGCATTACAGCTTCTTTTGTAGAAACACACAACATTGGATAAGGCACTGTCCTCCCAAACACCTCCTGGGCTCGCTTACTGTGTCATATTGGAGCTAAATGATTATTAGTGTCAAACCATTGAGTCACTCTTATTGAAAGTGAATTGTCACCTCAGGGGTGGGTAGGTGTTTCGGGGGAGGGAGGCGGGAATCAGCTGGCTTGTGAATATTACTCTTGCTCAAACATTTGTTTAATGGCTCCCTCTGTCCGATGATAATTAATTGTTTACCTTCTCATCTCTGGATGATGGCACGACTCTTTTCAGAGGTTGTTTGCTCACAGCAATTAAGTTCATCAAGTGCTCTTCCTCCTCCCTCTCCCTCCCTTCTTTTCCTCCCTCCCCATGCCTCCTTCTCCCTTTCTCCCTCTCCTTCTTTCACTGTGCTAAATGCAGATTAGCAGCGTCCCAATCACATCCAGAATGAGAGTAAACTCCTCATTATGCCGTGTGACCCTCCGCTGCATGAATAATTCAGGGATGCACTGTTAGTGGTTGGCTTTTATTAGCATTCTCAATGGTGAATAAAAAAGAGAGGGACGGAAATAAGGAAGGCAGGGAGGAGGGTGGGAGGCTGATATCACTGACAGGGCTGACTCAGGGGGATCAGCACTAGATTGAGACACACATCACACACACGCATCATCACACGACACAGGAGATCAGTGGAGGTACCTCTCCACTCACACACCCCACTGTCTGTGTACATCTCACACACACCCTGCTGCTGCTGCTGCTGCTGTTGTTGTCGTGAATCTCAATCTGCTTACTGGGCGTAAAACAACAAAGGCCTCTCTCACTGAGTACATGCTAAACACTCTGGCTCCTGGGTGTGCGTGTGATAGATTCTGCTCTGTAAACACACTTGACTCTCTTACCCCTTCCTCCTCCTCCTCCCAGCCCCCTGTTTTATTTTTATGGTTTTAATATATAACGAAGCGGCTCGTGAGTGTTAGAAACCCCCCAGCTGAGACTTCCTGGTGTGTCAGGAGAACAAGTGTGTACATACAAGTGTTTGTGTGTGTGTACGTGCTTGCATGCAAGCATGCGTGCAGAAGCTGCATGTGCCTGCCATGGTAACACTTCACTGGATGCACTCATGCTTGATTGAGTGTGTAGACACATTACTGCCCCCCCACCCCCCTTAAAAAAAAAATATTCCCACTTCTCTTGTATGTTGCCAGGGCTGAAATCGGCACTACAGTGCTTTAAACTCAGCTCAGTCATGGAGACGGGGGGTCAGACAGGGGCACATTAACCCCAAAACCCACCATTGTTAAAGGCAGAGGTCACTGGCCTGAATCTATAAGCCTACCCTCAGCCAGAGAAAGAAAGAGAGAGAGAGCGAGCAGAGATTAATGGCACTCAGCTGGTAATTGAGACATCAGAAACATGTTCATCCGCCAGCTGCACTGCTGTTGATGTTTTATTGATATGCATGATTTCAAACATTAGATGCGATTGCAGGAATCTGATGCACTCACCAGAGCTGCAGTCAAGTGTAAGGATTATGCA